GGCACCGGGGGGGTGGGCGGGGGCGGGGGCAGACCGTGGGTTTAAAAATAAAAAATAGAACAAAAACCAAAAAAGTAATGCAGAGAGGGGAAAAATTATCCGTTTTCTTCCCAAGTGGCCAGATTTCGAGTGAGTTAGCAGCCAGGATGGTGACCAACGTGTCGGCGGCCGGCCTGTCCCCACCCCCAGGACTACCCACCAGTTCAACAGTTCCACCTTTTATCTGTCTCGCGCTCTCCCCAGCATCACGACAGCGTTACACAGGAACAAGCGGGCCGGCGGAGGGAGGCCTCTTCTTTAACCTCTGGACCCAGCGCACACTTCCCCCAGCTCGTGGGGACTCCCGGAGACCTCCGGCCACATGGCCCCCGCTGCAGGCATCAAGGACACACCCCGCAGGGGAAGGGATTTCCGGCGCTACCCACTAAGGCAGGATGGACGGTGGCCGGGGGTTGGAAGGAAAAAGGAGGAGGAGGAGGGTGGCAATTCCCACTTGCCTGCTGCTGTCCCTGCTGTGTGGGTGGAGGCTGGGGGCCGCCAGGACCTGGAGTCTGTCCGTAGTAAGCGGCTTGCTGTCTGTAATATTCGGCCCAAGCAGCGCTGTAGTCTGGCTGGGAGCCTGGGGGCGCTCCCGGACCCCCTCCAGTGGCCACTTGAGCTGTGGGGGAAGAGAGAGTGAGTGTGGCTGGGCACAAGAACGGACCTGGCCCTGCCCTGCCCCAGGCCCCACCGCCTCAGCTGCTTAAAAATAAAGCAGCATAGTCGACATACAACATTACATCCACTTCGGCAAACAACAGCTATTTACCATTTATATTTCTTACGGTGTGATCACACTGAGTCTGGTCACCACCTGTCCCCGTACAAAGCTACCGGGCTGATGCCACATCCCCGTGTGCACAATACTTCCCACGGATCCCCCTTTGTCCAGCTCACCCTGCTTCTTGTAGTACTCCTCCCAGGCCTTTGTGTAGTCCTGCTGCGGAGGGGCGCCAGGCTGCTGGGGCTGCTGGCCTGCAGGACACAAGCCCCAAAAGGTTAGAGGACAGCACGGGGACCGGGTTGCACTCCCGCCCCTCTGCCTCGCGCCCCCGAGGCGGCTGGCACACTCACCGATCTTCTTGTAATACTCTTCCCAGGCTTTCGTGTAGTCTGACTGGCCAGTGGGCGGGGGCTGAGGGGGCTCGCCCTGTGCGAAAAAAAACGCGGGGGCAGGGGCGGGGCCGGGCACCGGGCCTGGGGGCTGCTGGTAGTAGTGTGAGTAGTAGGCGGCCCAGGCTGCGTTCGGGTCTGCGGCAGCTGCGGCGGCTTTATCTGTAGGAGGAGGGCAGCTGCAGGATGAGGGGGCGACAGAAAGCCAGCCCCATACCCAGACGACCAGCTGCCCCTCCAGTGGGCAGCCTTACTTACTTGGGTCATGAGGAGCAGGCGGCTGCCACTGGGGGTAGGTATTGCCCCAGCCCTGGGGTGGGTACTGGTGAGGAGGGGGTCCCCCAGCACTGCAGGATGAGAAAGGGGACACTCGTGAGCCGGGGCCACTCGAGGGGGCAGGGAAGGCTGGCGGGAAGGGGGCGCAGGCCAGGTGGAAGTGTGAGATGACTGACAAGGTGGAGGACCCAGGCCGGTAGACCTTGCTTGGAAACCAAAGTCCCCAAAGCTCAACACGCATGGGTTTACGTATGGAGTGGGGAACAAGGTCGACACCTACGGTATCTTGTGAAAAATGGGGTCTGTAAAACGGAGGGCTGGGCTGGACTGAGTTTGGGTGCCTGAACAGCGCTTCTGAAAGGTGGGCCTGGACCTCTTGTTGGTAATGGCAGTGACAATGGAGCTTGTCACTCTTCTTACCAGCAATAACGACTCGTGTGTCCCAAAGCTAAGAGAAATACTCACTGAGGGGGAGCCCCTGGCGGCCCCTGATTGAAGGGCCCGGGATTGAAGGGCCCCATGGGGCCAGCTGGGCCTGGTCCCCCCGGGCCTGGTCCAACTGGGCAGAGGGGACCCTGGAAGGAGGAGAATGGGACAAGGTCAGTGAAAGGGGAGCCGAGCCAGGAGCCAGGCCCTGGTCTCCAGAACCCTCCCTGAGCGCACCTCGATCTTCTCTTCGATGAGCTGCTTGGCGTGGTCGATCTGCTGGGGCGAGCCCCGGATGACGAACAGTTTGAAGTTGGGGTCCCCGTTGGGTGGCAGCTGCCTGGAGATCTCTACAAAGGCGCCTGTCTGCTGGTTTATGGCTTTCACATTCTCGCCACCTGCAGTGCACACAGGCAGTGAAGGGCGGGCGGGCGGGAGTGGGTGAGGGATGAAACGCAGGGGAGGCCTACTCACCTCGGCCGATGACCAGCCCACACTTGTGCGTGGGGATGGAGAAGGTCATCTCCCCGCCAGGAGGGCCCCAGTTGCCTTGGCCCCTGCCTCGGCCTCGGCCCCCAGGAGGCATGCCAGGACCCCCCGGAGGGCCTGGGGGACCACTCTGCAAGACAAGGAGGAGGTAGAGAATGCATGCAGGAAGCCGGGCCGGTCCCGTCTGCTCCCACCGGCCTCCTCGCCTGGCCTGTGCCACCTACCCGGAGGCTCTGGAGGAGGTCGTTGATAATCCGCGCTGCGTGCTCGCACCGGTCTGGGGGCCCCATTATGTGAGCTATCTTCTCAGGACCTGTCCCATCGTCTGAGGCCAGCAAACAGAGCAAAGACATACATTTAAAAGAGAAGCGTTAACTCCAAATCACTACCTCCTCGAGGCACTGTGGCAAGCTGGGTGTCTGAAACACCTCAGACTGTGTCTCTCGCCGCACTCCGTGTATTCAGGAGTGAGGAAAGAGGCAGCAAGTCCACGTCCCCGGAAAAGGAAAACTCAGCAACTGGGCAGAGCTGTGGCTGAGGCTTCTTTCTACAACTGGAACCCTCAGAAATACTGATGTTTCTGTAGAACTAAGAATAAATCTCTGAAAAGCAACAGAACGGTCCCCACAGACCTACCCGCAGAGGCTCTCCGGGCCTGGTAGGAGTCCTGAGCTGGGGTACTGATCTGACTCAGCCCAGAGTACCCAGGCTGCCTTGCTGAGTGAGCCCACCGGTGGGGGAGAGGAGAGGGGTAGATTCGATAGGAGGAAAACATGCTCTCTTTGGACCTGGAAAGTCTGCCTATCACCAACTTTTTCATGAGCTGTCCCAAGAGGAGGGAGACAAAGTCTAGGAAGAGGCTCAGCAAGCTAACCATGGTGCCCAACTGCCCAAAATGGACCCTCAAGGTGATCTTAAAAGGACAAGACTGGCTGATACAACCCCATGGCTTGGCCCTGACCTTGTTTAAACTGGATTCGCACGCCAGCATCATTCTGGATCTTCTTGATCATCTCTCCGCTCCGGCCAATAACCACACCGACAGAATGCCTAGGCACTGGGACCTGAGGGTGGGAGAGAGGCGGAGGGTCAGCCGGGTTCTAGCCCTGGCCATGAGGAGCATCCCCACCCACATCTCATGGCCCTCCTTCCTGGGGAGAAGGCTTGCACACTCACATCGATGCCCCCGCCAATCCGGGATCCATACTCGTTCCGGTCCCCAAAGCCGCCCTGGTCACGTTCCCGGAGAATATCCATCACCATCTCACAGGCTTGCTGCAAACACACGGGGGCATGGTGCATACGGCAAGCGCTGCTGCCCAACCGCACCCACTAACTAGCCTCCTGCCAACCGCAGAGTCACGGGCCTAAGCAAGGACTGACACACAGGGACTGAACTCATCACGTCACCCTGAGCGGCGAGCACGGCCAGCACCCGTTTTCCAGGTTAGAAAACAGGTACAGCGTCTGGACCACGTTTATGCAGGAACGCTGGAAAGGGGTTCGGCATGAGAAGGTGCACCCTGGACTGACCTCACGGCCAGCGTTCTCGAACCTCTCCACTCTCATGTGAATCTCCAGCCCACCCACCAGGCTCCTGCTTCTCCAAACCCCACCACCCCCGCAGGGTGCGCTCACTTGCACTTTGTAAGGATCCCCAATGATGCGAAGGGGTTTGTCCACATTCGTATTCTGGGAACCATCTTGAATTAGTATCATCTTCACTCCAGCTCGTTCCTTTAAAACCAACGCTGACTGTCAGTGCGGGGCTTTCAAAGACCCTTCTGGGGACTAGTGTACTCGGGGTGGGGGTTCCACGATGAGAAAGCACACGAGACTGGAAAAGCCGCTGAGCTTGTTCCGAGGAAGGCATAGAAGGGAAACTTCCTGGGTGGGAGGAGCCTTCTGTCCCCACCCACCCCTCACCTGCAGCTGCTTAATGGTCTCCCCGCCCTTGCCAATGACCAGGCCGGCCTTCCCCGCGGGGATCATGATCTCCTGCACCGTGCCATTCTGGCCCCCATTGGCGTTGTCGTGGAACTGTCCCGGGGGACCCCCACGACCCCGAGAGACGATGTCATCCAGCATCATCTTCGCTTTCCTGGGAAGGGGAAGAACATGGTGCCATCACTCGAAAAGGGTACTGCCTTGGCACGTGCCCCCACCCACACATCAAAGGGAAGGAGGTGACTCAAAGACGTGTGTCTGACGAAACACGAGGAACAAAGCACAGTCCCTGGGGCTGGGGTGCAAGGACACAGTGTAGGAGTCACCCCCAACTTTCAAAGGGATGGAACGGGCTTCTACCTGGTCCCACCACAATGACAGGCTCAACCAGGCACTTACTGAACAGATTCTGGGGCTCCTGTCAAGGACACACTGCGCTCAGGGAGGCCACCACTGTCTGGAGAGAAGAGGAGATAGGGTCAGTGCATTCTTGGGTCTGTGGCCCCTGAACAGCTCTGCAGTGGAGATGAGAAAGCTTCCAGAACAATCAAAAGCCACTTCTGCCACCTCTAGCAGCAGCCTGACAAATCAATTTACCTCCCCTAAGCAGCTGGGAGGCTGTTCTATGCAAGGCCAAGGTCAGAAAGCTTAAGTCCTATGATGTACACTTGAAAATTACATAACTGTATTAACCAATGTTACTCCAATAAACTTAATTAAAAAAAGAAAGCTAAAATCCAATAAGGGAGTCAGAGCTTTTAGAGAATAAGATGAGGTGGAAAGAGAGGTAGACTCTAGAAGGTCCAAACTGTGGGCCACTCCTGCCAGCAGTAACGATCACATGTGCACCCTGCAGTCAACTAACTCCACCCCGCAAGAACAAGCCCTCGGAAACGCCAGCAAAGCGGGCACCTGCACGCGAGCGAGCAGAACTGCGGTTAAAACTCAGACCTGACCGCAAAGTTATCCTTCCTCACCCGCCTCCCGTACTCCTGCTCGCTTTCCACTAGGGGTGGAGTTTAGGTGGCAACTTAATGTAATGGTTCGCAGGAGGTCCGGAACGAGGCCTTGTATTCGAGTCTAGACCTTCTCCCTCAGCCCTCCCCACAACAGTGTACGAAAGAAAACGGAAGCTGCAGCCCCACCTGGAGGAGCTGGACTGGTGGAGACAGTACACTGAACACGGCACTCAGTAAACCAACGATAAAGCAAGCGAACACCAGCCCGTCCCACATCCGCCCAGGCGAGGCAGAGGTTAGGAGGGTACCGAAGCGCAGAAAGCCCAGCCCCAGGCCAGCCCCCATCCGGCACCAATCTGGCTCACTCGTACCTGGAGAGATCTGGACTTTGCAGCCTGAATCCTGCTGGATTTTGTTAATCTGTTCGCCTCCTCTGCCGATGACTTAGGTGGAGACAGAAGGAAAAAAGCCGAAATTGATGGAAGGAACCGGCACTGAGGAGACTGGGTGGAGGGGATCCCCAGCCCTGCTGATGGTGGTGGCAGTAGGGGGAACAGTAGCCATGTCGAGAGCTTTACTGTGCTCCCTGCCCAGAGGGAACAGGTGAGAGCAGAATATGGGAAGCCCTTTCAGACCAAAGGCTTCTGGGCTGGCAGGGGCTCCCAAGACACTGTCCCCAAGGAGGGGAGATAATGGGTGCTTCCGACCACAGTGACCCACACTCACTCAGTCCCACCATGCCGTCTGGGACCCTGTACTCCTCTGTCATTGAAGTCCTGCCAAGAGACAACGAACGTCAGTCTCAAAAGGGGAAGCGGCAGAGGAGGGAAGGAAAAGTCGGAGGGTGTCCCTGGAGAAGAGGCCCCTCGATGCTTCTGGCTTCTGACCCCGCTTCTTACGATGGGACCAAGACACCACGAGCCTAAGCAGAATCTAACGGCACGGGGCTGGGGCTCCCTCTCCCCACAGCAGGTCACTCCACCTCTTGAGGCCTCAGTCTCCCCGCCTGGGCCATGAGGTGCTTGTTCTGGGGCAGCGTGGCCCTCGGAGAGAGAGAGCACTTGGACACTTTCCTAACACTCTGATAAAGTCATTCTATGTCTGTTGACATTTAAAAAAATTATCTCTTTTTTACTTCATTTCCCTAACATTTTTATTGTATTTCATGAAACTTCTAGCTCATTACATAAAAAAAAACAACATGGTCCTTCACAAAGGACTCTTGTCAGATTCACTGAAGTCATTCTATGGGGGCAAAAATATGAGAAAGAACCACCCCCCCACCCGCTCCACCAGCTCTCAGCAACATGCATTTGCAGAAAACAGATGAGAAAACCAGCCTTTTCTAGGAAGACAGGTGTCTGCGCTTCCGAGTGTCCCGCCCCAACGGAGGAAGCACCAGGGCGCAGGGACCACCCTTCTGTCCTTAAAGCTAACTGCCACAATGCTCTCCTCCCTCCAGCCCTGCACACAGGAACATACAGGATGAAGGTAGAGCTTTCTGCATCTTGGGCCACTCTGGTGGACCAACCCTAAACAGCGCGGCCCCCAGCTCTCCAAAGTCAGCAGGACAGACCACAGACAGCTGACAGACAAGGAAACGTGTTCTCCAAATCACGACTTACCTGGGAGGAGGATGGATGGGTCCAAGTTGAGAACTGATGGCTGCAGAGAGAAAACCCGAAGGAAAGATTGGCCTGGCTCCTCTCCGGGCCCCGGAACGCTGCTGGCCCCAGGTGCTCTTGCCCGCATGGGGGTGGCGAGCACCACTATTGCAGTCTGAACCCTCCTGAGCACTCGAGCACAACGGACCCTCCTCACAAGAGCACAGGCACTGGGTGTTTCTGCCTCAATTCCCGGGGCTCTCGGAACCCTAAAGCTCATGGACCACAGGAGATGAACACCTAGAGCTTCCCTAAAGGACGGGTGTGCTCAGTGCTCCTAGCTCCCGACTCCTAACAACCTCAAGACCCTGGAGCTGCCCTCTGCCTGCCCCAATAGACTTACAGTCTCCCTGAGAAGCCAGTTTCTTGCTCTCCGGTTGGTCTGTGAAAGACAGAGGATGTCAGATGCAGCGCCCACCCACCCACAGCTGCCTCAAATCTGATGTTTGTACCACATGTCCTGGCAAATGATCTCCCCTTCTCCCACCCCCCAACATCAGAGCTAAGACAGGAGAGTAGCAGAGACAAACCCCAGAGGGGGACCAGACTTCATTAATCCCGCCACCAGCATTCAGTGTAAAAAAGCCCTTTATAACGGGGGAACAATGATGGTGGCCCCCAAGTCCTTCCAGCTTAAGACCAGACCTGTCTTGGGTGGGAGAGTCTCAGTTGAAAAGTCAGCTGGCCACCCAGTTGATCATTTTGGCTAATGTGGGTAATGCCACATGCCACAGGGTCAGCCACATTTTAGTTAGGTGGGGCCTCAATAAAGGTGCCAGCGTTTCCCCAGCCTACCAGAAGGGGAGGAATGATCTTGAGCGCTTACAGCCTGGACCTAGCCACAGCCAACCTGCCTTGCTCTCAGCCACCTGATACTTCAGGATGGCGGCCCAACAAAAAGAACGAACAAAGCTGGAATTGCTGAGGTTTTAAAAGTCCGAACAGCAGGGCCCCCGCCCCACTTTGAACCACATTCAAACAAAGGCACCTCACTCTCTGCCCCCAGCCCTTCCTCCCAGCAAGTAGTTACCTCCATCTTCCAACTGCCTCTTTTGGCCCCCAAAACCAAAATCAGGAGTGCTGTTATTCACTGTTGTAGCAGCGTCGCCTCCAATTTTGGCTGCGATCTAGAAAATTGCAAGGATAAAAGAATTATCACCAAAAAACAAACCGCCATGGTGCTCAGATCGACTTCTCAGAACCTCTCTGTTTCTCCAGTCATGCTGTCTGGCATGGGAGTGGCTTCCCCCTACTTTAGGGAAGAGCCTGTTGGTTCAGACATTCTAGGAGTTTTACCTGAAGTCTCAGTTCAACAGTTATCCGGGAATTCCAAAACTCCCCTTCTCGATGGGATTTGGGCCTAAATTGTGGCCAGACTAACTCACACTGATTTGTTCTATGGTAAAAGGAACAGAAGGGTAAAAGGTGAAAGGACCCTCTGTGCCACGGAGGGTCCCCATGTCCCCTCCATAAGGGAGGGCTGCAGAGAACCAGAAAGTGAGACTGCAGCCCAGTTCTGGTGCCTAAAAAACTAAAAGCACAACTTTCCTTTATCTCCTTCAACCTCAGAATCTTTGCATTTGAAGAACAAATCTAGGGAAGGTTTTGCTTCAAGACTTCTGAGATCTTCATTTGACCAAAAAAAAAAAAAAAAAACCTCCTTTGGAACACGTTACAATTTAGCCACACGAAGAACAACTTCAAATAAATCCCAATCCAACAAACTCAACACCAGTCATGTTTGTGGAATTATTACGAGTCTCTCAAAGAAACACAAACCAAGAGCTAAGGATCTATCTTGACGTTTCTCTCAATTTTTTAACACTTTGAGCCAAAGTTCTTGGGCTGCCCAGATGGGGCCTTATTCAACCCCAACAGATACCACCAACTCCCCCAGTCATAGCTGCTTCTCAGGACAGTACAGTGGGCAAGCAGATCAAGGGCACATCAGAACACTATCCCCCTCCACAGGTGAGAAAGGTGAGAAAGCCAGACCACGCAGGGCGGGGACAAGGCCTACCTAACGGACCTCCCACCCTGCCCTGGAGGCATTGGGAGAAACCCGGTCGGCCGGAGTTTGCTTCCCGAAAGGGCGGCAAAATCCTCATGGTCTATGGGCCTCTTTCCCACGTACCCCTGGGGAGGATACAAATGAAAGTGGGGAGGTAAGTCCCATCAGCATGTGACACCTCCATGTTGTCATCGAGACTCAAAACACTGGTGGGACCTTCCCGGCTTTCCCCCAAAGAGACAAACCATGTTTTGAAGCCACCGGAAGCATCAAGGCGGCCCCTATGCCCACCTTTCCCAATTCGCCTAAGTGCCTGGCCGCTCTGGAGGAAGGACTTTTTTCCCCCAAGATCCTTTCTTCCTGAAGAGTGGGCTGAAACGGGGCTGGGCTGCAGGCACACAGGGCTCTTGCCCGAATGGGGAGCTTGGGGCAAAGCAAGACCTGTCCCCGGTAAGGTGGGCCCTTTCCTTCCAGGAGAGAGGAGCACATCTTCATGTGTCCTAAGGCGGGAAGGGGTCCCCAAAGTGAGTGGCCGCGCTCCGGGACCCCACAGACGCCTCTTCCCACTGCGGAGGATCATCCGCCCGGGACCCCGCTCGAAGCGCCAGGGGCGACCCAGGCGCACGCCCCCCGTGACCCCGCAGCGGCC